GGTTGCGAAATACGAGCTGCTGACTCCGGTCGCAAGACAAATTACAACACAAACATCGGCTGATCAAGACCCGTGGAGTGATGATGAGGTCAGGAAAGACCCAGCTGGAAGACCGCGACATTAAACCCATACTTGATTTAGTATCATCAAACAGAAAACCTACATGGCAGGACATTTCTACCTGTAGTCCTACAACAAAACATACTGGCACTCTGGATTCACTTCACATTCGAAACGGCGTCTTATTACCGGAAATTCGAGTTGGATGATGGAAGACGTTCCGATGCAACTGATACTTCCAAGATCCCGGATGTCCTCAAAGAACTACTAACAGCCCTACAGGAGGTCACTTTGAAATTCTGAAGACCTTACAGAGAGTTCGTGAGCGATTTTACTGGAATAATGCAAAGGATGACGTGCAAAAGTGGTGCCGATCTTGCGATGCCTGTGCAGGTCGGAAAGGACCAAGGAAACGCAGCCGAGGCAAGCTGCAACGTTACAACGTAGGTGCGCCGTTTGAACGTATCGCCTTTGACATCTTGGAACCTCTGCCACGAACTGCTGATGGTAACAAATACATACTCGTTGTCATTGATTACTTCACCAAGTGGCCTGAAGCGTATCCTATTCCAGATCAAGAGGCTGTTACAGTAGCTGAAATACAGCACTGGATTTCCAGGTTCGGGGTGCCTCTTCAGTTACATTCCGATCAGGGAAGGAATTTTACCTCGGTAGTAATCAAAGAACTATGCAAACTACTCGGCATTGACAAAACCCAAACGACGCCATTACATCCCCAGTCGGACGGCATGGTAGAGAGGTTCAATCGAACCATCCTTAATAACCTCTCATTAGTGGTTTCCAGAAACCAGCAGGACTGGGACAAGAAATTACCACTCTTTTTTACTGGCTTATTACCGCAGTGCTGTTCAACGAGACTACCGGCTATTCTCCATCCACAGATGCTCATCGGTCGTGACCTTCGTTTGCCTTGTGATCTATTATTTGGTTGCCCTCTGGATTGCTCCTTCATCGTCCTGATGGAATATATTCAAGACCTCCAGGCCCGGTTTGAAGTGATGCACAATTTTGCAAGAGAGCAAGTCAATCTTGGCGCACGAGAAGATGAAGACCCGCTACGATACCAAGAGCTACTGGACATCGATTCATTCCACGAAGGAGACAAGGTGTGGTTGTGGAATCCGACTCGACGGAAAGGACTTTGTCCGAAATTACAGTCACCTTGGGATGGCCCGTACACAGTCCTAAATAGGCTGAATGACGTCGTGGTTCGGATTCGTAAGTCTTCGAACTCTAAACCTAAAGTCATTCATTACGACAGGTTAGCTCATTACTATGGCCTTAGTACGTAATGTAAATAATTGTAAATAGTATAAGACCATGGTCCTTTTTGTTTTTAAATGTATATTTGATTTGATTTGTATTTAGTATTTGATTTGTATTTGATAGCATTTGATTTGTTTTATGTATTGCATTTATTGTTCATGTTGTTTATTATTGTAATGTAATGCTTATTAATGCATTTATGCCACAGTTGTAAATTTAGCTTCCTGTACAGGGATTGTACTGCCCGGGACGTGCAGTCCTTGGGAAGAGGGCAGTGTTACGAATTTGGTATTTAAAAAGCTAATGTTAGTTCAATTATAAATTAAATGGTTTTATTTCTCGCGCAGTGCAGCGCGTGACGAATATTAAAAGAAAGCTAAGCTGGAAAATTAAAAATACAAGAGCGCGTGCGTTAAATAAATAAATATCTCTTTTTGATTTCGAGAAAGTACTAGAAAAATTCTAGCGCATGATTTTAAAATCTTATAAAAGGAGGAAAACATCTCAGTTTGTAGTAGTTGCTTAGTTTGTTGTTGTTTAGAAACTGCTCTTGTTGATTGTAGCGAATTCGCGGATTAGCATTCTTTAGCTGTTTTGAATTACGTTCTATTGGATATTTGAGTAGTTAAAAGATAACTACCGTGAGATATTGTAATACTGCATGATAATTTGAGAAAATTTAAGCATTTTTGTTGTGATAATAATAAATTTTTGTTCATTTTTCATCGGACTTGTGCATTCATTTCATAACGAACCCGTACGCACGCAACAATATGATAAATTTAACTACATCTGTACACTTTTACATTCAACAAAGATCATAGCAAAGCTCCTATAAGTTTATAAAATTTTAAGTTTTCTGAAATTTCTTTCACCCATGGCAATGTTAAAAATATTGTTAATGCAATCTCCAAATTCAGGTACAATTGAACTATACAGTATTCTTGAATCATCTTTAAATAATTTGATATTGTTTAGCAATCAGAGTTATTGAAATATGATGGTTCATAATTAGGTATTTCTGCTGGAATATTTCAGGCATTTACTTTATTTGGATATTTAAGTGCTAAGCAGCTCTTCAAAAACATATAAATCTACTAACATTCATTTTGAACCATTTATAAACAGGGCAACTGAAGCTATTTTGTGAGGTTAAAATATTTATTTAGTCTTACATTTCTACTATGAAAAAATTTGCCTGAAAAATTAGTTCTTTCATCAATTAATTCTTGATGACCGATTTGCTATATTTTCCTTTTCCATTCTCTTCATATTCTAATGAAATATCCATCTCTCTAAAGCTAAATTTTCACATTTCTCAAAGCACCTCTCATATTTTGCTAACAAAAAAAAAAAAAAAAAAAAAAAAAAAAAAAAAAAAAAGAGAGAGAGAGTATTTCTCCATTATGTTTATGCATTTATTTTAGTACAGCAAAGCAAGATGACGGTTTTTTGCCTAAGGACAGAGATGTCTCTTAGAGGTAAGCAGTCTTGTTTTAAGTTGCAAATTGGTAAAAGCACCCCCGCAGCTAACTAATTTCTTGGAAATCAATATTTGGTTTAAGTCCTCTATTAAGCGTGAACCTTTGTGTTCAATTAACATTTTTCATTGCAAGACTTACCTTTTCTGTTTCTTACAGGATTAAATTCCATGCAGAAAATTTTAAACTGATTTGCTTAAAGAGGCTCTTAATTTTAAAACATTGCCATGATATAGCATCTGATCCTTTATATAAATTTGAAGAATTTATATCAGTATAAAGCAAAAATGACAAGCTGAAAATTATATAAAACGTACAATTTTTGTCTCGTTTTAAATATTAAATCATTAAAAAATAATTATCTCCTGATTTTGATTTGGTTAATTGATTTCACAAGTATTCAAGAATGTAGAGGTCTCTCTCTTTTTGTTTTTTAATTTTTGCGATATTTTAACATGCTTTTCCATGCATTTTAAAATTGAATGAATGTTAACAATAATAGTTAATGTTTTAATGCATTGGTAAAAATTAGGTAATCTGGCATCCCTGCTACCCGTTCGCACTTGCTTCGCCCTTGTCCCAGCTCTGCTACCAACAAATAATACTATTTTCAACAAATCATATTTGCTGTTTAAATAATAGCATAAATTGTTATAATTATTATTTGAAAGAAAATGTGTCATGACACAAATGTGCAACTCTTTTTCCAACCTATTAAATGCTATAATAATAATAATGTGACAGACAATAATAATAATGTATGTGCAATAATATGTTTATAAAATTTCTTTCCCATCTCCTACATAAATTTATTAAACATAAATGTAAGAAATATATTAAAGCATGTATCTCAAATTTTCTAACAATATAAGAATTTATATACTCCCTTCACATTTTTACACAGAAGTACATTCATTCAATAGGAAAATCACTAATATCCCATCTGCATAATTTCACTGTAAGCAACTTAATAATCATATTAAAAACTGGAATGCATGATAAATTTAACAAAACTGAATATCCTATTCTTTTAATGTTATTCAAAGAAGACTCACTTTGAAAATTTGCAATCTTGTGTATGCCAAAAAAATTGCAATAATTTTATTACGTCCAATTTATGTTTATTTTTTGGCTATGATAAAAAGATTTATTGTCTACAACTAAACTGATATTCTACAATAATGTAAAACATACAAAGAAGACATTTATTAATCCTCTGTCTGATGTATTTAAATTTTTGTCACAATTTACTAAGAATTTATAATCCATTTTCTTTCAACTACTATTAATGTTTTTCAGAAGATTAAAAGTCCTAAAAGACTGAAAGAAAATACGAAGCAGACAGATGTTTAACATATTTGTAACTGATATGAAAGATCTAAATATTTATTTGAAGATAACATAAACTTGAATAATATTTATTCAGACACATCAAACTCATAGGCTAGTTTACCTTTTGGAGATGATTAATATTAAAGTATGCATTTCATAAGCATAAACAGCATTAAGTTGTAAAGTGATATTGTTGCATATTATTAACAAATAAAAATGTATAAAATATGACTTATTAAAGGCTTTCAGTCTTCATAATTTAGCAACATCATTAGAAATGAGATTATTAAATCTTGATACATAACTACTTCTCGAAGTTCACATGGGTTCCAATTTATTAATGTCCTTAAATCAATATATACAGTTTAAAACACACCAGAAATTTACACAGCTTTAATTTTGACAAGTTCAATAAACACACTAGTTACTTCAAAAACTTTAGTTATTAAGATAACATATCCACTCAATGCAATTTCATCCTGTATGTATGTATATACTAGTGTGCAATTTAGATTTGAAAATAAATTACTGCAAAAATATGATTTATTAAACATATTATTCATTAACATACCACCTACTAAATATTCAGAAACATGAAAGGAATTTCTCAAGGTTCCCTTCATCTTTTTTTTTTAATATGTGAAGAATTCTTCATATGTCTATTTGAACACAATTATAAAGATGTTAATCAGGATATCTGTTTCTATATATCTTTTCTGATAAACTTCAAAGCAGAATTTCTACAAAACATTGTTTATTATTTATTATATGGATATATATATATAAACCTACCCACAAATATCTATTTAATGCATTTAAAAAGTTAAAAAGCCGACATACCCTTTTACAAGAATAAGTTCATCATCGCATATCCTTTCTTGACAAACTTCTTCAGCTTCACCTAACATTGAAGCATCAAAACTTTCTTCTCCTTCAATGTTGGCTAGACTCTGAATAAATTGAGCTAAAGGCAAAAAATATTATTTATGCAAATAATTACTCTTTTGTTTATTAAAATGATGAATAAAAAAAAATAAATGTATGTGTAATAATATGTTTATAAAATTTCTTTCCCATCTCCTACATAAATTTATTAAACATAAATGTAAGAAATATATTAAAGCATGTATCTCAAATTTTCTAACAATATAAGAATTTATATACTCCCTTCACATTTTTACACAGAAGTACATTCATTCAATAGGAAAATCACTAATATCCCATCTGCATAATTTCACTGTAAGCAACTTAATAATCATATATTAAAAACTGGAATGCATGATAAATTTAACAAAACTGAATATCCTATTCTTTTAATGTTATTCAAAGAGACTCACTTTGAAAATTTGCAATCTTGTGTATGCCAAAAAAATTGCAATAATTTTATTACGTCCAATTTATGTTTATTTTTTGGCTATGATAAAAAGATTTATTGTCTACACCACTAGTTTCAACTTAAACTGCATGCAGGCAAATGCATAAATTAAAAACAGCTGGTGTGTAAGAATTTTTTTAAAATAAAATGGAAAATGTTATTACCAAAGTTTTAAAAAATTTACATAAATTTTAAATTTTGCTTACTATATATTTATCAAAATATGCACAAATGACAGTATAATAATATATAATATACAGTATAATGATATTGCAAAGGGAAAAAAATTCAAATTTATATAAATTTTCTATCTTAAATAAGTTTGGTACTTTTGTTGAATATATTTTGTAATATAACTGATCATTAGCTTACTTTAATTTAAAACACAAATTATTCTTTTAAGTTTCACTTCCTAAGTTTTCAGAGAAAATTTACCAAGTGCGACATACAGCTTCAGAATAAATAATGACACACTAGTCTCTTTCTCTTATTTATTAATTTTTTCTTTGAGAGATTAATAAAAAATAAATATGTTTGAATGTATATAATTATATACTTTTTTATTTCTTACTACAGCTCCACACTTGACAGCATTTGGATTCTAATGAAGTTTGTAACTTTGAAAAGAAATTACTAAAAAATTATCTTCATTGTGTATTACATAAGCTCACTGATCAATCTGGTGCTTTACTCACTCTTCATATAATCACATTCCCAAACAAAGCAATTACTCTCAGTGAAAGGATTTTAAACTGTTATTTATTTATTTATTTTTGATTATTAAGAATAAAAATTAATAAAATCTGTATCTTCAACTCTTTAAATAAGATTTATATCATACTGTAAATTAATTAGCTTCATTTATAGATTTTCTGGTACATTATTCATGTTCATTTTTAAAGGAGATGAAAATAAACCATAATTGAAATGCATACTTGTTAACCTATGACACTCAAAAATCAGGAGATTTATCACAATGTTAAAAAGACTTTTTAAATGGTAAAAATATAGTTTTTAATACTGAATTAACTTTAAATAATTACTAATTCTTAAACACAAGCAACACAAAAATACCATACACATAAAAGCATTTTTATTACTTGCATCGTTTAAGGAAAAAACAAAAAGACACTTGTGTACTTTTCGTACAAATGTTATGATTAGTGGCAGATTTTGCTTTTGTTAAGAAAGAAACTTCATAATTTTGTTCATAACAATTGCCACGTCGGCCTGCTTTCGCTCATAAAGTCTTTTCTAATGTGTCATCACTAATATGAGATCTAAATTTAGTCCTCATTTTCGCAACAACACTGAAAATCCTCTTGCACTCTGCATTACTATGGGGAACTGTCAAGATGGCCAACATAATTCTAAACAGTTCACTATATTTTAAAATTTCATCAGCACATTTCTGTTTTCCAAATAAACTCCACTGGGTGTCAATCCTAGCTCATTTTATAACTTCATCAAAGTTTTCTAATTGTAAACTGCAAAATATTAGTGGCTACATCAATATCATCATCTTTCATGACTAAATGAAGTAACATAGTAAATCTGTTCAAAAAGTACCTTATATCAGAAAAAGATGCATTTGCTAGAGCAGAAACATCAGCAACTTTAGCATGCAAAATCATTTCATCGTTGACTAATAATTTAGGTAGTATGTAATCACATACTCGACAAAAGTAACTTCTAACAAGAAGATAAAACTTATTTTTGAAAGAACTTTCAAAAATAAGTTTACTTTTATTTTTGAAACTTTCTTTTGAAAGTTCTTCCACTACTTTTGTAGTTGCAGTTCCTGTTACCAAATCATCTTTCTTCTGATTTTCTATTTCACCATAAATCACATCATATATAGAATTACAAGACAAAACACAGACTGGTTTTACAAACTTTGATAAAATGTCTTTAAACAGATCATAAATCATTGATTGCAAAAACATGAATTAATGGAATTCTGCTTTGTAGAACTGTGTTAAGGACATCAAATGATGACAAAATGAAAAGTAACAAAAAAAAAAAAAGCAAAAAGCTTTGTTAAGGTCCGAAGAAATAAACATAAATATTTGTTCTTCACAAGAAAAATTTACAGTAATCGGAAAATGTTTCATGTGTTGAGCAAATTTTTTTTTATTTTGAGAGAAATTTGTATCAGTTTTATGCTTATATTTTGCAGTAATATTTTGAGAACTGCCAGTTTAATTGCTAAATGGTGCAGAAATTATTTTTCTCACCTATTTTTAACAATGGAAGTAGCAACTACATCTCCATTTACTTTAGGTATTTTATAACTTTCAATAGAGCCTTTTATCTAAACTCTCGAAGCATTTACTTCTTCTTTAAAAAATGCAAGAAGTGGGTTCCATTGATCGAGGATTCTACATACGCATTTCTTTAAAGACAGCCAGCGTGTACACACTTTTCAAAATTTTTCTCATTTCAGTATTATGCAGTTGTTGGAACTGTTTCAATTTTTCCTTCCTTTTAGAACTCCGTTCAAGATAATAATAAATATCAACAATGTGTTCATCCACATTTATTGGTAAAAGAAGCTGCCCCTTTTTCACTGGTAAATTTAAGAGCTGACAGATGCACCTCATAATCTGCAAATCTGAATTTTCCTTTCTTAAGATGCCTACAACACCAGTCTTTAAGCCTACCATTACTGATACATTATCGCACCAAGCGTTAAGCAATTATCCAGAGGGACTGCATTTTCTTTTAAAGTTTTAATAATTAGCTGTGCTATATTAAAGCCTGTCGAATGTCCTTCTAAAGTGTGGACAGAAAGTAAACTGCACTGAATTTCTGAAGACTCTGGATTAAAAAAAGAAACAACAGCAGTTGGATACAGTTTTTAATCGGTATTATTGCTTCCATCCGTAAAGAGGCAGAACAGAGCTGTTTTAATGCAATCAATAACTGAAGATTTCTTTTTTAAACCCATTTTTTTTAACAATTGCACCTGTTGTAGTCCTTGCATTTGAGTATTTCTTAGCGATTTCACTATCGAGAGACATTTTTCTAAATAAAGCTGCAGCATGATTCGATGCATTCAGTGGCAGGTTGTGCTCCAGTAAAAAGGCAGAGAAGAGACATTCTGCATTAATAACTTCTGGTCCTTTGTTTCCAAAGAAAATTTTCATTTTTTATTTTTTCCAAAACAGCTCATGTTGTCCTTGTGTTTTTGTGTATGCACATGTTTGAGAACATCCGTCCTTCCACCATGCAAAATCGAAAATTCGCTACAACAGACGGTACACATCTCAAATGTATTACATTTCCTTGAAGAAATAATGGAAAGAAAGTCAACTGTGTACGATTTTTGAAACATACACGAGTATTTCGTCCTTTCTCGCAGACATAACAAAATATGATAATTTCTAAAACTATTTCCCGAAGGCACGTATACTCACACAACTCAGAACAAGATGAACGAAATAATTAAAGAACATCCAAATTACAGCCTTGAGCTTGCTTTGTGCTCATTGGCTAATACAATCAAAAGTCGTTAATCCGGACTCGTCGGGACTTCGGCGATTCCGGATTATAGATCATCAGTTTAAATCTCGTAAGATGCATGCAGAAATTCTAAAATTAAAAATATGAAACCGTAATTTATGAAATAAAGAACAATTATGATCTAAAGGGTATCAAAATTTACAAAAAAAAAAAAAAAAAGCTTAATATTTATTTGTTTACTTTATTAAACATTTCTTTCAATGCAAGTTGTTTAAGTTTTGCTTCGTTTCATGTGATAATACTTTCTCTTTAATTCTATTAAACAGGCATAATTTCTTGTTCAGTTACAAAGTTCCGCTGTTTAAGTCCTATAATTGCTGTGTCGAGAACACCGACTAATTTGTCAATCGAAATTTTTTCGTTTTCAATAACCTCTGTCACCTTTCTTTGCTATCGGAAGCGAATTATAATAAGGAGGAACTTGTTTTAAGTCATATGAAAGACGGAGCATATCGAGATGAAATACCTACATTTGGTAAGGAATTATAAGCCAAATAAAATAAAAACATCTGCGCTGAAGATAAGGATAGTGCTGACAGATCAACTTCCAATTCATTACGCGCCCGCCGCGGCGTCCCCCCCCCCGCCGAGCAGCGTGAAATTGATAAACAGATTTCGGATTTCAAAACATACTTTCGCTTTAGATCCTTTACATATTAACAAATATATATCGGAAATTCTATTTGATAAAATCGAAAGTTTAAGCTCACTTTTATAAAATTGCTCTTACAGTCTGCAAAAAATAATAAGCCGGGTCCAATTTGAAAATTAAGGAACAACGCAATCATCAACATTAACTGAAATAGATAATTTTAGCTTATACATCCATTATAGATAAAACGCGCACGCGAAAACGTATTCTGCACTTGCGCAAACTCATATGCGCAGTCGTAAAAGGTAAATCTGGTAAGATGGCATGCAGAAATTATAAAATAAAAAATATGAAACAATAATTTATGAAATAAAGAGCAATTATGATCTAAAGGGTATCAAAATTTACAAAAAAAAAAAAAAAAAAAAAAAACTTCATATTTATTTGTTTACTTTATTAAACATTTCTTTCAATGTAAGTTAAGTTGCTTCGTTTTATGTGATAATACTTTCTCTTTAATTCTACAAACAGACATAATTTCTTGTTCAGTTACAAAGTTCTGCTGTTTAAGTTCCGTAATTGCTGTGCCGAGAATACCGACTAATTTGTCAATCGAAATTTTTTCGTTTTCACTAACCTCTCTGTCACCTTCTTCATGTCTTTATTCATTTTTTGCAGCAATTCCACTTTTTGTTTGATGGACATCGAAACACACTTTCGTTTTGTAGATCCTTTGGGAGCTCCAGTATCGGAAATTCTATTTGACATAATCGAAAGTTCAAGTTTACTTTTATAAAATTGCTCTTACAGTCTGCAAAAATAATAAGCCGGATCCACTTCGAAGATTAAGGAACAACGCAATCGTCAACATCAACTGAAATAGATAATTTTAGCTTATACTGTCCATTACACATTAAATGCGCACGCGAAAACGTATTCTGCATTTGCGCACACGCACATACGCAGTCGTAAAAGTCTTGCGCGCACGGGTAAACGCATATGTGCATGTGTCAATGCAGAGCGTACGCAGAAAGTTTGTAGCTTTGAGGTCCGGATTATGGGTGTCCGAATTAACGACTTTTGACTGTATATGCCAGATGACACACGGTGGAGCTCGAAGCCCATTGGAGAACTGGAGAATGATGTTTCTGGATACGTATGCTCTGGAAATGTCTTTATGGGCCGCATAAAATTGCTTCTGAGGCTGCAAATAACCGAGGTTAAAACCACTAGTCTACACATTAACATCTCCCCTCTCCTCCACCAATACAGATTTGAAAAAAAATTGCCCCTTGTACAATGAGCTTTTAGGTCTGCTAGGCATTCACCAAAGGCTGGTCATACAAGCAGCTGTTCTTTAAAAAATAGAGAGAGAAACAGCATTTATAAAACAACAGACTTCTACAGTGAGCCCAATTTCTTTGCAAAATTTCTTTCTGACAAGGAAGGAAAGCTAGATTAAATAAATAAAATCAGTATTAGAGAAAATCTATACACAATGAAAAAAAGTTTTTTTATATGTTTTTTCCCTATTAAAATCAAAATCTAATAAAATTTCACAGTTAAAAATACATGTAATTTATGACATTGATTTTTAAAAGATATTAGGATAATTACACATTAAAAGCTACAAAACATTTATGTTTTGTAACAACAACACTCAACAAAATATTTATCCATCATTTTAATTTGAAGCCTTGCCAAACCTTTTGACTAATTTATATAGATTTCCTTCTCTTTAAGCATTTTTTCTAAGAATTCGAAATTTGTCTTAGTATGCACAACAATGTTCTCACTAGTTTCTGCGTGCTTTATCTCCTAATCCTCTCCACAAGGTACCTATGAGGGTTTTACTCGAGCTGGTAAAAGTTAAATAGTCCAAACCCCCCCAACAGATGTGAAGCAAATTATCACTATGTCTGAAAGTAACTACAAAGGCAGACGGGTTTAAATAAGCTTCTTATTTAAAAAGCAGTTAGAACACAAAGGCATGTTCTTATGCTAACAAAGTCAATTGCAGCTCGTAGTGATGTAATTAAACAAGAAGAGTCAAACTCAAGATAAAAATATGGACTAATGGTCAAAGACTATACAATTTAATTTTATCTTAAGCTGGCTTAGTTACTCTATCATCATAACAAATTCAAATGTCGGCAGCAGTTATGCAAAGACGAATAATTACAAATTATAAGAGCTGGCAGGAACTAATGCAAGGAACAAGTGGAGGTCAGAAACACACTCTTGTCTTACACTCCAAAAACCTCAGTTTAAAAACTGTGTAAGTGATTTGTATTCTGGTGAGAAATTAGAAATGGGAAATTATAGTAAAGGCTGAAATTGTAAACAACTGGATATTTTACATAATAGTATCTGTACACATCTTTGAAGAATAATTTTCTTTCTCTTTATGTATTTGGTTTCTTTCTTCCACGTTTCCTTTTTCACTTTAGAATTTTTGGATTTAATTAAAGATTTCTGTTATTCTAAAAAAACTAAATGCATTTAGAATGTATAGAAAAAGCTGCTAATTTTATTTCTCTAGTAATATGAAAATTCAGAAGGAATATGAAATTGTTATGGTCAGGTCTGGTTACAGAGCTGGTGTGGCAAATTTTTAGAATTTAGTGATTGCATCAGATGGGAAAATGCCTAGTGCCATCTCTGGATCTTTTAAATTGTAAATTTTGAATTTCTTTATTAATAAATAAATCCCTTTCTATAATGCTTATATGATAAGATTAGGAGCATTTTTTATATTTTCCATGCTTGTGTCTAGTGAAAAATAGAGAAAATAAAAGGAAGATGAAAATATTAAGAAAAAAATTCTAATATCAGAAGTAAAACATTCAACTATTATGTTTTCATTGTTCTTCCAGACATTCTCCAAAAAGTAAGAAATCCTTTTATTTTCTCTACTTTTCACTAGACACAAGCATGGAAAGTATAAAAAATGCTTCTAATCTTATCATATGGACAGGCATTATAGAAAGGGATTTTTTTATTAATAAAGAAATTCAAAATTTACAATTTAAAAGATCCATCTAATATGTCTTAATGCATCATACACAGAGCTGGCACTAGGCATTGGCCACTTGTTACTAGGGAGACATTTTCCATTTTTCCATTCTGGAATCTTCTAGAATCGTGGGTCTATAAATCTTGCCTTAAAATCTTTCTAAACTTTCCAAGCTCAAATATCTAAAATCCTAAAGAAAAATTACCCTTACCAATTCTGAAACAGCAAAAAGCCAGAAATATTTTGAAAGGGGGGGGGAAGGAAAAAGTGTAAAATTAATTTTATAGAGAAAACTGATGCAAATTCTAGGAATTTTGAATATTCTGCGACAATTACATGGGAATAACTCAAAGAAGACATTTTTAATTAATTATACAGCTAATTTTGCTTTTGCTAAAAGTTATTTCATAAATTATGCTTTTTATAGCATTATACCTACTTTGTCTACTGTCTCTATTTTTCAGATTAAAATATTGTATAATAAGTGGCCAAAATGGAATTTTTAATATGACAGTGAAAAATAAAAATGCTTTACTTAAATGTTATTTCTTAAATATAATTAGATTACATTACCGTTATTTTAATGAAATTTATCAATGTTATAATGTTCTAAAAAAAAGTCGTCGAAAGATTCCCAGATATCGGAATTAACCCCTTAACTGCCGCGGAAAACGTACAAGATTCATTCCCCAATGCCACGGTTTTTCACATATCCGCGCGTAGTTATGCGATTTATTAGGGGGAAAATAAGAGCAAGTTTTACTTTCTAAAAATTGTTTAGTTTCACAAAATAAACAGTAAAAAAAAAAAAAAAAAAAAAAAAAAAAACGCACAAAATTTCATATTTTGAGTAAAAATATAATAAAAAGATGTAAGTATAATAAAAATGATGTTTTTATAATAAAAAAGATCCCTATAATGGGGTTTCGATCAATTCATTTTTAGACCAGTAAAGTGTAATATCATGTTTCAGTGTTATATACCTTGTGAAATCAGTATGCCTATAAAAACATATATTTGTTCTGAATTGGTTGAATGCCACGATATTGTTCTTGATTTTTCTTTTGCAAGGTGTTGTTGGTTCATATACTCGTCTACAAAACGGCTAGTTTCAGTAGTAATATAAAGCACGAGCAGTTCATCAAAAAATAATTCAAGAAAGATAAATGGGTTTGAAACATCCGTTATATCTTTCTTTATTCCTGGAACCTACTACAAAAAGTAAACGAAAACGGAGGACACAGAATAAAAAAAAAAAAAAAAAAAAAAAAAAAAAAAAAAAAAAAACGTTTTACTCAAACAACACTAGCCAATACCACGCAGTCATTACTTTCAGCACTTTAGACACGTCCCTCTCTCCAATTTCTCCCCCCACTTCTCTGAAATAATATCCTCCTTCACATACTTCGTCAAGGTCATTCTGGTGTTGCATTCCAAAAGTTTGCGAATAGTTTAACGGGTAGCAGCGCAAAGCAACTGATAGTATTTTGTTACGGGGCAGTTAACGCATCGGCTGAGCAAGGCATATATATACGCCCGCCGCAGTTAAGGGGTTAAAAAATTTCTATACAGACTGTTCTTAAAATCGTCAAAATTTTCACAAGTCGACAAATTTAAAACCGTTTAATAAAAGAAAATAAAAGAATTTACATCCCCAAGAGCAAAAAGTTGTTTAAGAGCTCATTTGAAGAAATGAAATAATTTCGAAATGCTTACGTCTCACTTCTTGCTCAGAAATTCTATTCCACATTTATATTAGAAATAGGAACAAATTATAACACATTTACCCATTCAAAAGATAACCATATTTGTCAGCAAATCGCCGAAAATATTCATCCACTTCACACTCAAAATGACAGTCATAAAAACAAACAGAAATTTCAGATGATTAAAATTAAGGACCTTCTGCCTAATTTGTCAAAATTAAAGACCAAAAATCGATTTAAAAAAACTTAAGGACCACACGAATCCTGTCTTTATGAAAATTTTTAAGGGTGATAACTCGTATTTAAACTGCCCCCTTCCCACAAATAATAATTAATACAATATGCATGTCTCACTTATGTGTATAAAATCCAGAATAATTAATTTGATATTGCATAGCCTAACAATACACAGTTTGCACTTTCTAAATTTATTATTTTAATTAAAATTCTATATACAGTTATTCAAATTTCAGTTCCCAGATGTACAATTTAAAATGAAAATTGACTCACCTCCAGTTGCTTTAGCTATTCTCTTCAGATCTTGTTTCTTACACCTGCGAACAGCCATAGCGCCAGCTTCAACAAAATACTTCAAACATAAGTCATCAATACCTCCAGTAGTAAGAACAACATTTGCCCCAGCTGATAAGATTTTCTGTATACGTTCTTTTGTAATGTCAGCCTCACTGTTATAAAATAATGAAGTTCATCCATTATATATTTTCAAATAAAATTTGAACATGTCTAACTCATATTCTTTCATATATGACGAAAAATCTCAAAATATTTCACATAATCTCATAAAAGATATAAAAATCTGTCATCCTAAACCATGATTCTGGATATAAAAGATTTCTAGTAAAGTTTTTCCCTTTGTCAACTAATTTTAAAACACTTTGTTAGTGGTTTGTCAGTATTAAACATCCACTGGTAAAAATAACGATTAAAGTTTTCCCATTTCAAACTAATCAACAAAATATATATAATTAAATTCCTTTCACAAAAGAAACAGGAATTATAATTTTAATAAGGTTCTATTTTTCTCATACATATACATATTAACAGAATTCTATAAAATATCCATATTCATTTGATTTTAGTTTGCATATATTTTCATACAAAAAGCTAATACAGTAAGGAGTAAGAGATCCAGACTCATCAGGACTTCTCCGAATCCAGATTTGGGATTTTTTCTGGATCATCAGTTTAAATCTACCAAGATGGCATGTAGAAATTATAAAATTAAAAAATATGAAATCATGACTTACGAAATAGTAAAGCATTTATGATTTAAAGGGTATCAAAATTTACAAAAAAAAAAAAAAAAAAAAAAAAAAAAAAGTTACTTATTTCTTTACTTTATTAAACATTTCTTTCAATGTAGAGTAGTTTAAGTTGCTCTCCTTTTTACATTAATACTTTCTCTTTGTCTACTTTGTCTCTATGTCTTTGTCTTTTTCTCCAGACAGACATAATTTCTTGTTCAGTTACAAGTTCCACTGTTCACGTCCTGTAATTGTAGTGTCAAGAATTTTGACTAACTTGTCAATCAAAATTTTTCATTTTCAGTAACTTCTCTGTCACTCTTTTCAGTATCGATAGATCCAGAATCATACTACACATTTTGCTGTTCGTTAATTGATCGATGACCGGGGCATTATGATCACAATGAAAAACTTCTTTTATATCAACTTTATTTATTACCACATCTCCACTATTCTTTACAAAATCCATCAATTGGAAAATTTCACCTATGGTTTGCGATATCCTTCAAATTTGTGGCTATTATCTTCATCATCCCACTATGAAATATGGTAGCTGGACATAAATTATGCAAGCATTTTTTAAAGTATTTGGAAAGTAGTATGAGACTAGTGACTAAAGACAAGTTGTTCCATTAAATTTTATCTTGCTTCTATTGCACACTGAGACAATTAAGAATGAATTGTATTAATTTAGTTATTTATTATACTTACATCTATTTTTTGCACATGCTTAAGACTTATCTGAATCCCGAATAAATAAATTCCCACATATACTTAAGGCTTATACAGGGCCTGACACAGTATCTGCGGGTCATAAATTTTGTTACCAAGCACCTTCCCAAGTACTAAATTTTTGCAGAGTCTAAATTTAGGGTCCCAGTGCTTTCCCTAAAAATTTGTCATCCCTCAATTTTGTTGCTCAGTGCTTCTCTACATTTCAAAATTCTTGTCTTCCCTAAATTCTGCCACCTGGTGCAGCTACACGAGCTCTGGCGCTGGTTCTGGGTTTATGTGAATAAAAAAATCAGTTATTCTTAATTCAAATAGCACTAAATGTAATATTTTGGCCTATGAGTTTCATTAACAAAATCTATTTTCAGCATATGGAAAGAAATTTTTGTTAAATCTTTCCTCATCAACGTTTCTTAGCACATTCAACTTAAATCTGTAATCATCGGTAAGCGTAATGTCAACATAAAAGGTTACCACAATCTTTGTTATTCAATTACTAATATATAAAACAAAATTTTTGTAGGCATCGCACATTACTCAAATTGTCATGTTTTGATAATTATACGGTGATAAAAGCACAATATAATAAATAATGATTCATCAGGGATGAAAAATATTAGTAAAGATAAAATGAACAATGTTTCAGTTTGGGATGTATGCCAAGCAGATATGCAGCTACAGAGACAAATTATTAATCACACAAATTCATGCTAAAATGATTATTTCTTCAATAATGAGGTATTTTATTTTGTGTTGAAGTGAAATTAAGAATTGGGACTCTCCAAGTGTTACTATGAGAGGAAAAAATCAAATGCAGACACATCATGAATTCCAACCCCCCCAAAAAAAACTTGTTGGTGACTTTGTAGCCTGGAGGTTAGATCATTCCAGATATTGGACTTCTGGATCTGAGACTTTGTACTGTATTTAGTCGTGCTAAATACAACCAAAATATCAAATAACTGATTATGCTAAAGAAAATTCAGATGCCTCAAATGATAATAAAAATTGGCTAAATTATGCAAAGTGGGCTTTTACAATTTTGCAGATTTATTTAAATATTGGAAAAATGAGCAAAATACTTGAGCAAATAATGAGCAAATCTCGTTCCATACATGATCTTTTTTCCTCATTTAAAAAAATTTGATTTTGGTTCATCCTTCAACTATACATAAATATTAACTGGCAATTTATATAACTTGAAAATAACATTCAGAGTAAATCTAGGAATAATACTGCATAAAAAAAACTTATTTCTTGGCTAACTATAGTACAGATCCCACATAAATTGGAACTGCATCAACATAATTAATCTAAAAAAAAAAAAAAAAAAAAAGAACTGAACTTTGAAATTAAAACACTATTGCGTCAACCTAGCAAATTCACTGTTATGGTGATGTGTAGCATTAACTTCAATCTTACACCTGCTCCTTTCTTAAAACACATAAATCTGTCACTGCTTGATGAGTGGTAGAATAAACCAGTATCATATGTGTTCAATGATTATTTAAATTTTCAAAACTAAAAAAGACCTTAAGGATCAATAAGTTTATGTGAAGTTCTGAACAAGATTGGCAAAAAATTTTACTAAAACATTTGAAATGTTGCAACAAGGATTTTTTTGCCATTCTCAATGCTATAAATATGCTTTCAAACCCAACAGAACATCCAACAAAGATGATTTGAAAACTGAATACGCCTCCCTGTCAACAAGCTATATTCACATCGAGGAAGTGCATACTTAAACAAATCATCATTTAAGTACCTGTGAGAATAAAGCAGATCTAAGGCATCAGGAAAACTTCATGTCACACAATTTGACTGACAATTTGCAGATATAACACACTGTAGCAAAACTTTCACAACCAGTCAGAAGATGTTAGATAATTCAAATGCAGTTCAAAACTTCACAATACAGTCTGGTTCATAATAGGTGATAGGTTTACAGATATGACACTGAAATAAAAAGGCAACTGTTGCAGTGGTTTGGATTACTGTCACCAAGACCAAAAAAGTTCCAGATTTTCATTTGTACCTATTTTTGTTAACAAAAATACTTACAGTAGCACCATTTGTTTATTTCCAAACACTGCATCCAAATTCAGGCATATCATGCATAATTTGTTATATATTAAAGTAAAGGAAATTTAAATAGTTAAAAAAACTTACTTATAATATAAAGGATGCAGTTTATTTTAGATGATGCTATGCATGACAGTTTATGTTTTCTAAAAGAGTTCATCTTTACATTAAATATACTATATTCATAAAAAATTAATACTGAGAAATAAAATAACTTCTTTAAAATTAAAACAAGGATCATGCTGAAAAACAAAACTACACCTTAATTCTCCAAGAAATCAATACAATGTATATTTACATTCAAAAATACGTAATGATTCCTTCAAATATACAAGCATGCATACTGAAATATGCCTAAACAAAAAATTAAGGCACTGAATCAAAGTATAAAGAGGGAAGGAAGGTCATTTCAGAATTCTAATTAAGAAATATGATTTGCTCATGGCCTTCTGGAGAATTCTAGGGTTTTAAGCCAAAACCTTAGTAGCTTGGAGGGTTAAGCTGATACAGAAAATGCCAGCTTAGAAAGTAACTTTAGATCATAATAATATATTGAAGCAATGTACTACTTTAAGAAATGTATTACTTAAAAAATTCTAAACTCCTATAATTGAATATTGCATTACAATGTACTGCAAACATCATTTTCGTGTAAAATTGTGCACAATATATAATAAAAATTACAAATATGAATTCTGAACTCTAAGCTACTAGTAATTAGTGTACTACTATTTAAACTATCATTTTAACAGTTCTTTTTTTAATTAACAAATTTTAACAAGCAATGAAATATAAACTTATCCCAATGCAGTAAAAAAAAAAAAAAAAAAAAAAAAAAAAAAAAAAAAATCCACTGATGTATAATCATTAAATTACAAAATGCTTAATTATTTAAATTCAACTTGCAATACTAGCAAATATAAAAATTTTATCATTTTGTTACATATGCTTAAAACTTATATTCATAGCTAATATGTAACATATAATACAATTCAGAATAAATATAACATAAACAAAAGAGAGAAAAATTTATATACAATTTACCGTTGTCTAATAGCATCTAATTTTTCAGGATCAGTGATCAGAACTTGTACTCCAAGATGCATTTTCACTTTCTGTAGACCAAAATCAAGGCAAGCAATTTTTGCATTTGTTATAATTTTCGGCATAGCTACAAAATATACAATGGTTTTTCGAAACGAGTTACGCTACAGTTAGCATATGCAGAAAACAGTAAAGAAATTGTAACAGAATTTTAAAAATATTATAAATAAATATATCAATGAAAAGACATCTGTTTTCCTATTTTAAAGCAAACATAAATAAACAATTATTTAAAAGTTTAACACTTATTCAGATTCATACAATATGGTAATGTTTTTATCAATTAAATAACAAACATTTTTAACCAAGGTTTATTTTACCTAATTATCAGCAGTGAACTGTGAAAATTTTACCAAAAGCATTGCACCTTGTTTAAAAAAAAAGTTCTAATAAGATGTTTAGCTTTTTACAAAAGTAAAAATTTATGCATAAAACAAAAAATTAGATATGAAATATTAAAGAAATTGCAGAAAATAATGAATAAATTTAATTACGGGATACAATTTATCCCAGAATCTGCCACACATTTCTTCCTCTTTCTTGTCCGATGGATATTCTAGAAGATTTTAAGGTTGAAGAGTTTCGGAAACATTTTGAACACCAGATTTACATTAAATAAAAATCCTACGGCCAAAAACATTGTTCATGAAGCTGAAAATTTATCCAGCTTCATTGCTACCAGATACAGCCTTCATGAAGACTTGTATACATCAATACGCAATCCATTATGCACTTTTTTTGTTAAAGCTATCTCAATGAAATACTGAAAGTAATTTTACTATTTCAAATTATAAAATATAATGTTTGTATCTTTTTCTCCTTCTGCACAGAAAATAATAAATTATATAAGCAATAAAATATTTCAAACAATTTATTTTATCCAAGAATACATGCTGGGGAAGGGGAATACTGCTTCAGAAAATGCAAAGTAATTTTATATAACACATAAATACAATAAACCAGGGGTTCTCAACCCATGGTACACAAGAGAAAAACATGTGGTTCGCAAAGAAGCAAGATTTTTTAACTATTAAATTCGAAAATTAAAACCCCCAACATCCTGATTGAGTTTTTTCTCTAACACTCGTAAATTTATGCGATCTGAGCTTTGTTCAAGAGTGGTGGTACTAAAGGTTTCAATTTTTGTTTAGTTGGTATGTGTTAGTCAAAAGGTTGAAAACCGCTGCAATAAACTATAAATATGAGAGCTAGGTTTTAGCCAGATATAAGACCTAACTAATAAATCACGAAAGGCGGAGTTAAAAATAATTTTTAAATAAGTTTAAGGAGAAAACTATTTTCATCATTCATTTAAAGTAAGATGTATTTATAGTTTCAGAATAGTCTACTTATATCAAGAACATTTATATTCAGATTCCATTCTAGCTTTTCAAAGAATACTTACCTTGAGAAGCTACAGTGCAATTAAGTGCATATCCATTTATTAGCATACTTTCAGTAGAACTTCTTCCATGAGCCTTTAAAACATTTACAGCATTAATTGGAAACTTATAACCCCCTTTACCATCAGGAACCCGGACAGCCATGGCAGCATCAACTACCATATTAGCAAAGAAATCACTTTCAGCTCCAATAAGTTTTGAAGACAATGATGTTTTAGCAGCATTAACAATACATTCTCTCCCTAACTCATCAGTATTAATTGTGAGATGTTCTTGGATGTATTTACAAGCTTCCCTACAAAGAAATATATACATATAAATTACGATAAATAAGTTACACATTAAAAACAAAATTTTTCAAAATATTCAGATCTGCAATATACAAAGTTTTCAGAAAACAAAGGGAAAAAAAAAAAAAAAAAAAGCCAAGTGACTAGCTATATATTGCAAAGTATCCCAGAATTATTGCAATAAACTTTAACGGTATGGGGGCATCACAAGGATTTATATTTGCATAGCAACCCATAATCGGAAATGTAGTGGAAGCATAGTATGGCACATACATGAAACAAAGTTTTTTGCAAGTGGATACATATTACAAAAATGAATCTTCTTAACTTCCCTGCATTGCTGACAATATGCATGGTCTCAAGCATAATTATCAATTTACTTATGTTCTTCGGAGTACCTTCCTTCATTTTCACAAAATTCCCTTCTGTTCATCCTTTTCTGAACACCTTTTCTAAAATGACGTTCAAAAGCTTTTATAATACCCTGGTCAAAAGGCTAAACACCAGAAGGTGTATTTGAAAGAAATGACACTTGCGTTCTTCAGGGAGATCAAATGTGTATATGTTGCACAGTTATCTAATTGGTAAATTAGTTTTCCATTTTTTAGCTCCCCAATTTCAAAACATAATTAGCATACACACTATTTGCCATCTATTAGATCTAGTTGCTATAATGCTATAAGGTGAATTCTTGACTCCTTTCAAACGGCAATTTTGTTTGTTTGTTTGTTTTTTTGTTTTATCAATAATTAAGGCTGTCTTCTTATTGGATCCATACTACATATAAATAGCCCACTTACTCATTCACTCAATTTTCATTCTCTGTAGAGTTATTTTCTGTGGATAATAATAGTAATAATAATAATTTAAAAAAAAAAAAAAACTTTTATTATCTGATATGTAATTCTGCGAAATGTAAAATCGGAGAGTATTTTTGTCAGTTTTAATACAAAATCACATCTTACAAATATGTGTCTAGTAATGCTTTGTAACACCATCCAGTTTTGTCAGTATTATGAATCTAAAATGACTTACATTCATTTTGCCATTCGAGTAAAACATCCTTTATCTAGGTATCAGTTGCATGATGATCTGCCAAAATGCAATTTGTGATGAATATTCTTGGATTTTTATTTCTACAAAATATAAGCCAGCTATCACCAATACAAAATTCTCTCCTAGCATTTGGCGAATTAATAAAAAAAGAAAGGCTCTAGCATTGAAAGAAGCAATTCTTAATTTTATAACTTGAAAACCATTCAGAAAAAACAGTTTTAATATTTCTCAATTTTCTGATTTTGCTTCCTTGAGACAATCGCCTTTTTTTGAGGGGGAGTCATTAACTACAATTCTCTGCTTAAATAAGCTGCTGTTTGGGAAGTTCCAAGTTTAAATGTAGTTTTTCTCTGGCTGCAATCACCAAGAACAACAAGGTTTTTCAATAATTTATCCTTCTCTTTCAGGCTGTCTTTTTTGCTTGGCATTTTCAACGTGGTAAGGACCCCAATTTTTTTTTTTTTTTAAATGCTTCTTCCAGTCATTTATTCAAGTTTTAAAACCTACGTTTCTAGAGCAGCAGAAAAATTCCCTTTGTACATTTAGCCACTTAATGACTGCATGTCCAATGCTTTACATTTTCTTCAGCCGAGAGTTATCACTTCTTCATTCAAAGGGTGTTAACATACTGTAATGCTAACAAGCACTTTTTTTTATATTTGTATAACTCTCTGAGAGCATAAAGTTAAATTTTCAATGTTAATTTTTCAATTCCAAATTTAGTTAAATTTTCAATTTCTAAATGGAAATTTTTAATCTGGAAAACTTAAAAGATAGGTTACAGAAGTTGTACTTTCACCTCTTATTCAAGAAGAATGATGCGGTGACTATGCACCTTTGAAGCTCAATGCTGACAAAGAACTCTGAAATCAATGTCTCACAGACACAGGGGCCAGGAGATAAGAAAATTTTGGTCAAACCTGTTTTGCTGAAGGATGACTGTTGTTTTATTTTACCCCAAAAATAAAGCCATAACCCAAAATATGTTAAATGGATGAACTATGAAAAGCTTTGCTAGGTACAAACAGGATATTTTGGCACTAAAAAATCATTTTCAACAGCAGAGATTAGTTTCATAAATAGTGGTTTTTCTATTAATTAATATGTATTTGTTTTGTTTCCTGAACATTTGAATACAATAAATGCCTAAGTTTTTAACCAGTGAGTTGTGGCACGCACTGTAATTTTAGTTTCTAAATATTCACCAAAAAAATGCCTTTAATTTCAATGAAAGTGATTTCTTTTATATGTTTCAGCAGCTAAAACATCTATTTTTAGACATGATCTGTGTATTGGTAAGAAAAGAAGAAAAGTCTGAAGCCAATACAATAGCTTTAAAAAAGTGCTCACTTCAATACATCAGAAAATACAAAGCGAGATGCTTTTAGCATACAGCAATTCTCCTCTGTATGTCAGAAGATACATTTTCCCTTTATGTTGATATGAAAAATAAATACTGAAATTTATGAAAAGTGATAAGGAGAGAAAGAAAAACATTTTGAAGAAAATAAATTTAAAAAATCACCTTGTATTGTTACAAATGTACTACTCAAACAGAAGAAGTGACTGACATGCAAATGATCTGGGTTGAATTCCACCAAAAGTTGTTTTCAATGAAAATACAGGAATATACATTTTAAAAGTTATTCTTAACTTGGAATTTGAGGCAATAGATAAAATTAATACACTTGAAATTAAGTGCACGAAATAGCATCTCCCATGCAGCAACAACTAATTAATTTAGACAGAGATTTCATTAAAGCTTTTGCAATACACGAAGGAAAGAAAAGAATGCCTGATCTAAATATTCCATTAGAAATATTGGTAAATAAAAAGAATTTTATCAAAAAACTCACATTTCTTAAGAAATGATTCTTTTCTAGATTTCTTGAACGCAGATGAGAATAAACTACTGTGGAAAAATATGTGAAGATGAAATTATTGATCAAGAGCTCAATATGAGAACCATGGGGCAATTCAATAAGAATGTTTAGAGACTGTTCCAAGACCTACACTTAAAGAAGTCAAAGAACGTCTGTCACAATATTTTTTAAAGTAGGTAACAATTTTGAGATGCTTCTAGCATTAGCTATGTATAATCAGATATTAATAAAAATTTAAAGGGAAAACAAGTTTAAAATATAATAATAAAATTTAAAAAGGGGGGATTCCTAGAGAATGAATGCTAGTTTTATTTTTTTACTGTCACTTCCATTTTCAAACTTTTTAATAGTCCATGCGAGTTGCAAAAATTCACAATCCACCGTAATTTTAAACTCTACAAATATTGCAATGAAACAATAAATATATTCTGAATGATGAAATTCATACTTCCTAACACTAAATACATACAGCATAACATATACACGTTCGAATATGACGGTTAAATAAAGTTAATAAAAATGCAAAGCATAGTGAAATATAAAGATTGTTTGATTATATATGAATAAAACACAATTGAATTAAAATTTTTTAATATATATATATATGTGTGTGTGTTAAGATACAGTCAAAAGTCGTTAATCCGGACTCGTCGGGGACTTGGCGATTCCGGATTATCGTTTTTTCCAGATTATAGATAATCAGTTAAATCTGGTAAGATGGCATGCAGAAATTACAAAATTAAAAATATGAAACCGTAATTTATGAAATAAAGAACAATTATGATCTAAAGGGTATCAAAATTTACAAAAAGAAAAAGCTTAATATTTATTTGTTTACTTTATTAAACATTTCCTTCAATGTAAGTTGCTTCGTTTCATGTGATAATACTTTCTCTTTAATTCTATTAAACAGACATAATTTCTTGTTTAGTTACAAAGTTCCGCTGTTCAAGTCCTATAATTGCTGTGTTGAGAATACCGACTAATTTGTCAATCAAAATGTTTTTGTTTTCAATAACCTCTGGGTCACTTTCTTCACTATCCGAAGCGAATTATAATGAGGAGGAACTTGATTTAAATCATATCAAAGGAGTACATCGAGATGAAATACTACACTTAGTACGGAATTATAAACCAAATAAAATAAAAACATCTGCCCTGAAGATAAGGATAGTGCTGACAGACCAACTTCCAATCTGCAGGGTGAAATTGATAAACAGATTTCGGATTTTAAAACATACTTTCGCTTTGTAGATACAAAATTACATATTAGTAAATATATATCGGAAATTCTATTTGACATAATCTTTCTAATCTATCAGAATCTAATAATGACGTTTCTGCCCCTCCCCCCTCTGCCGCAGAGCAGCGTGAAATTGATAAACAGATTTCGGATTTCAAAACATACTTTCGCTTTGTAGTAAATATATATCGGAAATTCTATTTGACATAATCAAAAGTTCAAGCTTACTTTTATAAAATTGCTCTAACAGTCTGCAAAAAATAATAAGCCGGATCCAATTCGAAGATTAAGGAACAACGCAATCTGCAACATTAACTGAATTAGAGAACTTTAGCTTAGCGTATAACTCCGTTACACATTAAATGCGCATGCGCACAAACATATTCGCAGCCATAAGGGTCTTACGCGCTCTCGTAAACGCCTGTGCGCATGCGTGAACGCGACGCATGCGCAGAAAGTTTGTAGCTTTGAGGTCCGGATTATGGGTGTCCGAATTAACGACTTTTGACTGTATAACAAAATATGATGGCTGCTTTAAAAATGATTTGCGACCTCAAAATTAACTATTCTACATTTTACGTTCTCCCCACCCCCTAAATTCGAGATCTTTCCAAGTTACATAATAACCCAAAATTAATCAATCACAGATCAGCTTTACTTATGCATCATACTTAGTATAAATACTCTTGGCAAAACAACTATGTCATTCCCAAGGTCCGTACAGTGAAAAGGTTTGCGCATTCGGAAACTGAGGCATAGAGCGCATGCGTCAAGTCTCAACGTATGACGTCACAGGGCGACCAGACGAGGCCTACGTGATATACGAGTCTAAGGGAAACGCCGTCATTGCTTTCGAATGCTGAACTCCTGTGAAGTCCTCTGTCAGTGAGAATATTTTCTTCAAGGTTAGTAAAATTTCAGTACTTTTGTTTTATTCACTTCTGTTTTATACTATCAAATATTTTATCTTCAGTACTAATTGTAAAATAACAAGCTTAAGTTCAGAGCTTGTTTATAGACGAATTTTGTATATCTATTTGTGCCAAAACAGCTTAAATTACAGAATAAAATTAAAAAAATGTGTATATATGTGAAATTACAAATTAAAATATATATATATATATATAAACATGTCTAGTATTTCCGCGCATTAGTTGTTAAAAAATTATCAGTAAAGACATAAAGTAAGAAATTTACTTTTCACAAAGACCAAAAGGTGAAATTCGTAATTAATAAATTTCAAATAATTCTTTAAATGCAAAAAAGAATTTTAAAAAGTTTATAAAAATGTATTTTAAAAATGTTTAAAAAGTTACATATATATATTAATGTAATATAACATAGTTTTCTATATCAAAAGGTTAAAATATTTACTGAATATTTTTATATTATATTATGGAATGCTTACAGTGCAGAAAAACGATTCTGAAATTCTTTCTTTTGTTCAATTTTACTAGATGCCTGGAATGCGATGTGCCGTTGCTCTTTGCAACAACAGTTTAGAAAAAACTAAAAATTTATTTGAGCGCATAGTTTATCATAAATTTCCAAGTGATCCTACATTAAGAAGGAAGTGGATAAATCTTTGCCGTCGAGAAAGATAAATGGAATGCAAACTCTTCTAGGATATGTTCTGCCCATTTTACTGCGTATAAACTGAAAGAAGATCCAAATTGTATTTCGTCGTGGATACAACATCTGTCTCATGGAGGACTAATTCAAGCCCTCTGAAGAGTGGAAAACGCAAATCCAGGTCATAAAATGGAAGAACAATTTTTAATTTTCAACGGTTCCACTTTAAGAAAGGGAGAAAATATATATAAAGGACTTTGTCAAAACCCTTAAACAGCAGTTTTCCGACACAGATGAAAAACTTACTTAAGTCCTTTGCTAGAATTCGAACTTTTCATACGATTTAAGGACTTTAAATCAAAAATTAGTTAATCAAAAATATTCGAAAGCTAAAAAAAGAAGACTAAATTCAGTCGATGAAAACTGTGAACATAACGCGGAAAGAAAAAATAAATTGAAGAAAATAATTTCGTAATAAATCAAAAAATTATTTCTTTAACTGAATGAAAATCGAGCTATCTTTTGTTTTGTTATCTTAGGTGCGCTATTTTTTTAGCCTAACCATTGTAAAGGAATACTTAAAATTTTTCTTCAAGCAAAGCTTAGCTGCGGAAAGAAAAAATGGTGTATCCAGCATATCTGTTGAAAGAAATATTTTTTTATTAAACAGAACTGATCCAAATTACGTAACTAGACTAAAATTTTAGACGTGCAAATACCTGGTTACTTTTGGAAAGAAAAATATATTTTGTATTACGTATTATCTGATATATATTTTTTTAAACATTCATCTCATAATATTGTGTATATATTATATATATATATATAAATGCATATATCTTAGTGTAAAATTTATATGTATATATATAATACATCTTCATAATGTAAAATAAATAAATAAAAATACTTTTGATTCTGAAAAAGCGAATTGTGACATAAAAAAATCTGCAACTACAAAAATCTATTTTGTTTTTTTACAATAGCATTTGCGAATTCATGTGCCAGTTCCTTATTCAGTATGATATTTGAATTAGCTTAGATTATGTTTAGAATTTAATAAATATAGCCACTAAACTTATGCAATTTACAGCACATAATTTGGGTTCTGAACTTAATTTTGCCCTCGGTTTAAATTATTCAAAGTTTATTTTTATAAGATATCTTTATATACTGTCTTAAAAATTATACGCTCAAGTATAAAATATGTCAAAGAAATAAGGGTATGTACAATGCAAATTTATTTTTCAGGTTAGTGTTCATTCATTGATTTGCGTATTTATTCGATACGGTTAGTTTTAAATATATATTTCAAAAGTCGTATGTATGTCGATAAAAAATGTTTATTAGATATTTATACATGTTAAATTATGATTTAGTTAATATCCTTCTTTAACATTTTAATGTAAACACCTAGCAAATAAGAACAGTCAAATAAGCGCAAATTCGTTTCAAGCGCCCCTCCTACCGTAGTTTCTACCCTCGTAGTATCAGAGAAAGCAACAGAGGTCTCCCTGTGACGTCACGATGTGGTTGACCATTCAACGCGTTTTTCCTCTTATGCGCGAACCTTTTCACTGTACGGACCTTGCATCATTCCTTCCTTAACTTCTACCATGCTAACATCTTCGCACCAGCTTTGCTTCAAAGGCTAGGATGTCTATGTCTTACTTTTAAAACCAGTGTAAATAAAAATTGTTGTATTCAACTATGATTGGATAAAAGCCTTGTCTACCAAAAGTTATTTGATGCAAATTATCATAGAATAACACTGTGTTTAGAAATGGCCACATCTGGAAGTTACTGTTTTCTTCATCAATCTCTCTAACTATGCAACACAAATACTGCATATATATATATATATATATATATTTAAATAGGAAAGGAATTTAAAACCTACAAAAAGCTATCAAAAACACTTGAAGCAACCTATCATAGTTCCAGCAACACTTTGTAAAATGAGTTACTAAGAATATTACAAATTATGAAGCCTCCATTAGCATAGCAACAAGCTAAAGAAGACTTGTTTCTAGTTTTGGAAAAGCCTTGCTTTTCGTTGAAGATGACTGTTTAAAATTTCTGGTAACCCCTTGTTTGCTTCATTCAAAATTTGGTAAACTTTCCACATCCGGATTTTTCACAGCTTAACTGTAGCCAGAGCTCAAGTCAACAGCAACGTAAGTTTTTAGTTTTAATTCTTTTTCCATTATGAGCAAAATGCTCCTCCCTTTATTTACTTGCACAAGTCTTTACGGTTTTTAAAAGACAAAAGTTTTTCAATTCACGGAGTTGGTCCCCCTTAATGTTATTTTCACAAAAGACTTTCAAGTTTAATTTTAATATCTGAGAATTGTTTGAATATTTTTATTCTTTTGTATTTATTGTCATTTGACCGTTAGCCTTACTAGGCCAATTATGATTTAGGATCTGACTTTAATTATGTTTCAATTTTAGTTTTTATTTTTAGTACTTTGTTTGCTTTTTGACATAGTATGATTTAGAAAATGCAGACATGTCGGAAAAGAGGCAAATTCAATGAGAGTTTTGTTTAGTTTAAATTAATAAAAAATTTTGAGTTAATTTAAAAACTTTCGAAGTCTCAGTGGGTTTGTCAGACGAAACATGTTTGCATGTTCTAGTTAATCAACTTGGTTTGAGGCTCTCAAACACTTTTCCCTTGCCAATTTCTGTTTGAAGCTTTAAACAGAGAAGATTAACAAAATATTTTTGTGCTCCTTTTTTCACATTTTTATTGTTTTTAATAAAGTTTTTTAGTTCATAATTTGTAATATTCTTAGTATCTTATTTTACAAAGTGTTGCCGGAATTACAATAGTTTACTTCAAGTGTTTTTAACGGATTTTTCTAGGTTTTAAATTCCTTTCCGATTTAAATTCATTAAAAAAAATCAGCAGTTCAAAGTGCCATTTTTGACTAGATAGGTCTTTCGTTTTAAAAATTATTTTTTACTTCTTTATTTTCTTATATATATAAATGTAGAGTAAGTCTCAATATCACTTAGAGAAAAAAGAAAAATGGTTATCAGAGAGACCACCTGGCCCCCCCCAAAAAAAATCATATTTTTCATTATTATTATAGCAAGAAATTTTTAGATGAAAAAATAAAGCACAATGTTAACTATAGTAATTAATATCTTAGATTATCATTACTGATGATAAATTTCAAATTGCTAAAATAATGAAAAATAAACCAAGAATAATAATAAACTTTTATATTTAATACTACTGATTAGTTGAATTTTCTTTTGTATATAAACTTGCTATTTTTTCCCCTGTTTTTTGTATTTACCATTAATTTAATTACACATATAATATGTCAAAAAATTGTGGTAATTAAGGCAGAAGAAAAAGTTTATACAAATAAATAAAATTTGGCTCACTTGCAAGCCAATCGGTATCCACTTATAATTGAGGTTGGGTGGATCTTGCACTTTACTAATTCATCAGCATTTTTTAATAACTCAGCAGCTATTAATACCTAAAATATATAACAGAACTTAAGTGCAAAGAAGCAAAATAAAAAAGATCAGGAACAACTTGTAATCTAAAAACTACAATTTTACACCTCAAAGAGCTAACCAATAAAATTTTCAGAAAATTAAATACATAGTCGAATCCTACTATAATGAACTTCAAGATACCCAAAGTTTGCTTCGCAATATTCAATTAAATAAGAAAATGGATCATCGCATAAAATTTGCAAAAACTTGCTGCTGAATCACTCACACACAAAGAAAACTGACCAATATTGTTACATGTATCAAAAGATATGAATAATAAATATAATTAAACCAATGTTATTAGGATTTAATTAAAATTACTGTGTGCAGTTATTAAATTTGTTGGTTTTTTCCAGTTTCCCTGAATGTTAATCATTCATTACAAATAATCATTTTATTCATAAAATATTAAAACATTAAAAATGAATAGCAAAAAAGAATATTGATAAATTTACCTTCAAATTTTACTTAACTTCTGAGCACAAAAATAATCTGGAATACAAGTGTTATGCAAATCCCAGGAAAATTTTACCCATATTTTTGTTCAAAAATTTAAAGCTTCATTCATGTTCAGTTTATGTGAATAAACATTGAATGAATGCATATCACAGCCTTGGCATACACAGTGGTAGGTTAGTTCCCTTCCTATGTTTTGAGTTTCCTCAACATTTACATCAGTATCAGAAGAATTGTCAGTGTCAGCATTTCTTGTTTAATTTCTGTCACAATATATAACTTGGATTGGTACTTACTGATTATCTACTCCCCTGAAAAGTATTCATGACGCAACATGCTATGTTGACAAAATGTATTTATGTGTCAACCCAGGTATGGAAGTGTGTGCTCTCACAACAGACAAGGATAGATTCCATCTTAAAATTTGGCGGTTCATTTTCAACTAGTATTACTTTTCCATTGAGAACTTTTTTCTTTATAAAACATTTTAATGGGACTATGGAGTTTCTTCAGTCTTTAAACTACACCGTTTAATTTGGCATTATTTTACAGAACACTTGTTAGCACTGAAAATGTCTTTTTTTTTCATACTCCCAAGAAAGATAATCAAAATTTTCCCCCATTTCTCTACATCAAAGTTTGAAACACTATCAAATTCTCCAGCAATTTTTCTTAAGAAACGTTGTTTGACATCTTCAATTTCTCCAACTAGTTACCTGAGCACAAATAGGCAGTCTCTCCAACATGTCTGGAAAATTCATTGCCAAAACAACATTTGTACAGATATTAGTAGATTATAACTTCTTTGACTGCCAAAACCTTTTATTATTCAATCCTATTGCATGGTCTTTTTCTACTTTCTCTCATATATAAAATTTTTCCATTAAGAGAACTTAAAGAGTCTTGATTTTTTTTTTACGTAGTACTAACTGTAGATTTCGATAAACCGTATTCTTAGCAGACGTCGATTTGGCTGCATACATTGTGCAATTTTCAAATAATATGCCCCTTGTCTTCAATGCAGAAAATAGTTTAGTTTAATCTCCGCCATGCAGATGTATTTTCGACTCGAACAGCAATCAATATATCTCATCCAATGCTCATTGAGAATACAATAATTTCCTCCAAGATATGTATAATTGCAAAGCAAAGATTCAGTAACCTTTTTTAAAGAATATCCTACGTCACGCAAAAAAACCTAAACATTTATGCACGTGGAAATTATGAACTTTTAAGGATCATCAATGAAAAAAATTGACAACTTACCCGCAAATAGAAATTGAAAAAACTAAAGCAATTATCTACATCTGAACTTCGTTTTTGTAATTTATAAGAATAAAATAAATCTACAAGCAGGATACATTATTATTAAACCTAATCTAATATTAATTTCGTTATAAAACAAATTCAAGAATAAACTCAACTTCATAAATTTTTTCAAGAAATTGACATTAAATTATAAATTTTCTTGAAACATTTATATTTTACACTCATATAACAGTCCCACATATTTTAAAGAAGATTAGTGATATTTTATTTAAATTTTACAAGCAGCTTCATATTGATTCTTTCTTTAAATGCTTCATTGCATCATGTACTCGCTCAGTGGAATGGTTTATGCAGATTTTATATCTAGCAAGAATTGAAAAGTAAAATAATAATCATCCTAACTCATAACAAAAGCTTGGTTGTTGCCTCTAGCTGCTTACTTAGAGGCAGAGAGGCACTGATCAGAACAAATGCGTGCCTGATTTTGATGCGGTTTGTAAGTGTTTAAAGTTAGCTGCACTTTGTCTGACCAGTTAGTGCCTTAATTTCATGTAGATTTGCTGGGGCAGTCAATATACAGTATTTAATATAAAGGTCCATTAAGCCATTAAAGCATGAGAGGTGATAGGTTGTTTTGTATTAAGTCTCATTAGTTGTAAGTAATAACGTTTCACATTATTTTTTACATTTTGTGTTATATCTTACATCCATAATAAAGATTAAGGAAAGCAATAACTCACCTTAACATGTAGAAATAATTTTTAAGGATAAGCAGTTAGTTACCAATAATTAAATTACATAGTTAATAATTATATCCCTCAGTTATAATAGATTTACTTGGTTACAATGATACGTTTTTCATTTCTAAAAAATATCCATGAAAAAAGCATTAAGAACATTTTACAGCAGTTATAATTAATGATATTGATTCTAAAATGATATTCATATATTATACATTAAAAGCTACAAAAACATTAATGTTTTATAGCAACTAAAAAAATATTTACACATCTTTTGGATGAAAAATTTTTTTTAGATATTTTAGCTAATTTACATCAATTTCCTTCTCTTTAGCACCTTTTCTAAGTTCATCTGCTTCAATAAATAAGTCAATGTTCCCACTAGACTCTGCTTCATCTCCTAATTTGTTAGTGCTTCCCTGAAGAATAACTTTTTTTATCTTGTCGCGGCGTACCAGTAGCAATTGGCTTTTCAGTGAGGATTTCATCTTCTCTGAATTATTGTATGCCCTTCAGAATTTGGACTCCTCTAAATCACCTGGCCCAGATGCTGTCCACAGACATTTCCTATGACATCTTGGTATCTTGGGCAGACAGAAACTTTTGCACATACTTGTTTCGGAAAACAAGTAAACTTACGAGATAATGGAAATCTGCCATCATTATCCCCATATGCAAACCAAACAAAGAAGCCAGTTCTATGGAAAGATACTGGTCTTAAATGATCCATGATCTTAGGCCTTAAAAACCGGCCTAAGATCATGGATAAGAATATCATATCAGATGAATCACTCAGAATATCACATCTAAGCTTTTTTAGCTTGGACAACATAAATCAATATAACTCCAGTGGATACCATACCATGTTGAGATGTATGGTAATGAAATAGCTGATGACCTTGCAAAGAAAGATTGTGATCTCCTTAAGCCCACTTCCACTGATTTAAGCCCATCTGAAATACATGCCCACTACAAAAATAAAATGAACATGGTGTGGAAAATTCCTCCTGAAGTTTTCACATACGCTCAAAAGAAGCTAAACTTAATCTAGAGCCCACTTGAAGTTAGGTTCAAAGATGATTTTCTCTGTACAATGTCACATAAGCTTTCTGGCATGCTTCAGAGAATAGTATGGAATGCCTCATAAAAGAGATGTAAAGAGAAGAGGATATTCTGGTAAAAGGGCCCTTTCTCATCAAGCTCAAATAAACAGTAACCACTGAAAGCAAAATTCCAGTGACAGCAGAAGGCTCACTACAGAGCTGCAAGGCTGCAGCAATCTTCTGAAGAAAGGCTGAATGTACGTAATAGTTTTCCTTGCGATCATGAAATTTTTCCGTAAACTGCAAGTAGTACTAAGAATTAAAATGGGCTTTCTTGCAACTTAGGATTAGTCTGCCTCCGATCTTCAAATGATTCTCTACCATATTTCATCATCTAAACAGTGATAATTACTCATATTGCCAATAAAATTTGATAAGATTTTACAATAGATGACTACATTTGTACCTACTCTTGTTGTAGCACCACCTATATGCATATATAAAATACAATAGCATATTTGACCAATGGCACTGTTACATTATTTGATCGTATGCCTTCCAATTCTGGTTCCAAATTTTTTAAGAAGTTAAAAAACATATTCTGTTAATTTAAAAAAAAATCAATGTATAAAGAAAGAGGTTTGCAATCTACATATTACTATACAATTTCATTATAACTATTACTTTTTAATCATGGCAAACACAATAATGCATACAAAAACGTAGCAAGTTAGAAATTTTAATATCTACCACTTAAAGGAATAAAACACTTATCTTATTAAAGATACGCATAGCATGAAATGCAAAATATTTTTACGAAATCTAGGTAAATTGCCCTTTTAAATAACTATCTTATATTACAATGAATAATGTAGGTTATTGCTTATTGTCAATTATTGCCAACAGTGCATTTTTCTCACAGGCACGATTTATTACATAATGAAAACAGTAAAAAAAAAATTTGAAACAGGTTTTCTACAAGTTGCTTAACAAAAGTTTGTTACAGTTCTTAATAAAATTATATTACACTTTTCTTATTAAGTATGACACACATTTGAGTTTTTACTAAATTTTGATTGATTGGTTATTCAGCAATAAACAATATAACAGACAACGGATACTTAATTTTATTCCCATTATATATATAACAAAACTAATTTTGCATTCGATTTTTTTAAGCTGAAACCATGTCATATTAAAATGTATCTCTGGTCTAAATGAAATACGTAACTCATTAACTATCATCATTAGTACCATTTTATCATAACTACAGTTCACAAGAAAATATAGTGAATACATGTATGAATAAGGAATAATTGCTAGCGCAGCTTTTATTAAGTAGCTGCCACACAATTTGCTAAAAAACAAAAAGTTATTTAAACTGTTTTTACGAAATATTTTGGTAATGATGTAGTAATTGATTTACCACATTTAAGCTTAATTTTCTCTTAGATTAGGATACTATAATGCTGTTTTTAATTATAACATGCTTTTAGGAATTAAAGAATTGCAACAATAACCAATACTAGTGCGGAACCCTAAAAACAAATAACTAAAATTAGTAAATCGCATACTACATCACTACCAGCGTTTCAAAATATGTTTTCATCTTGAATAAAAACCTCCACTAATAATTTAATCAAATACAGTCAAAAGTCATTAATCCGGACTCGTCGGGACTTTGGCGATTGTGGATTATCGATTTTTCCGGATTATAGATCATCAGTTTAAATCTCGTAAGATGGCATGCAGAAATTCTAAAATTAAAAATATGAAACCGTAATTTATGAAATAAAGAACAATTATGATCTAAAGGGTATCAAAATTTACAAAAAAAAAAAAAAAAAAGCTTAATATTTATTTGTTTACTTTATTAAACATTTCTTTCAATGTAAGTTGTTTAAGTTGCTTCGTTTTATATGATAATACTTTCTCCTTAATTCTATAAACAGACATAATTTCTTGTTCAGTTACAAAGTTCCACTGTTCAAGTCCCGTTAATTGCTGTGCCGAGAATACCGACTAACTTGTCAATCGAAATTTTTTCATTTTCACTAACCTCTCTGTCACAATTCTTCATGTCTTTATCCATTTTTTGGAGCAATTCCACTTTTTATTTGTTGGACATCGAAACATACTTTCGTTTTGTAGATCCTTTGGAAGTTCCAGCATCGGAAATTCTATTTGACATAATCGAAATTTCAAGTTTACTTTTATAAAATTGCTCTTACAGTCTGCAAAAAATAATAAGCGGGATCTAATTCGAAGATTAAGGAACAACGCAATCATTAACTGAAATAGATAATTAGATAATTTTAGCTTACACCGTCCGTTATATATTAAACACGCAGGCGAAAACGTATTCTGCACTTGCGCACACGCATATGCGCAGTAATCAAGGTCTTACGTGCACGCGTAAAACGCTTGTGCGTATGTGTCAACGCGGCGATGCGCAGAAAGTTTTTAGCTTTGAGGTCCAGATTATGGGTGTCCGAATTAACGACTTTTGACTGTATAGCTTTTTTAATTGCTGCATGAACATGCAGAAGCATTTTCAGATAAAAGATGATTACATACCACAGATGTAGTACCGTCTCCAACCTCAGTATCTTGCAATTCAGCTAGCTGAACTAATACTTTAGCAGCAGGATGCTCAATTTCTAACATTTTAAGTATAGTAGCACCATCATTTGTACAAGTAACATCCTAGAATTATATTGCAAAATTATTTTTTTTTTCAGACGACAAAAAAAAAAAAAAAAAAAAAAAAAAAAAAAAAAAAAAAAAAAAAAAAAAACTGATGTATATCATTTAATAATAGGTGCTTATAAGCTTTCCTGTCAACTGTGAAAGTTTTGGAAAATTATTCTTTTTTTTATTTAGTTAGATAATCAACAAACACAAGTTATGCCACAGCATAAAAAAACTTGAATAAATATCTGCTCAACCTTATGTAGATGATTCCAGCAGAAGTTTGGAAGAAAAAGATTATGCTTTATCGGGGTAGATAATCAATAGATACAATTTTTTTTTAATCATTTCTCAAGGCTATGGAAAAACAACGAAAGTTGATTTCTGCCTTTACAAAAACTAAACTTGTGTATTGAAGATTAATCGGCATTACATAAAACTAAGGCAAGGAGCTTATAAGCATGTTGTACTTAACATTTATTCGTTACTGGTGAAAAAAAAAATCACACATGCAGCAATTTTTATTTGTCGAAAATGATAAATGGGAAAGTACATACATACCAGATAATACTGGAATGTGTGTGCCTATATGCATATACATAGCAACTGGTTTAAAAAAAAAAAATAAGATTATCATATTTGATTACTTTTAATTTAATCCTCTGCTGCTTAAGTGCAGGAATTTTTCAATTAAGTGTTCCTCAATTCCTTTTGGACTTTTGTTACATATATATACATATACACACACACTGACAGAAAAAAAATCCCAACGCAAAGAAAAAAATTACTGTAATGAAATTTTGGCAATACATTTGTCTAGGTAACATATTCGATTAAATTTTAAGATCACAAGTTAATACAAGCACCAGAAGAGCCACTTCCAATGTGAAATGCTGGTACATTAATAAACTGTGATACTGCCAGAATTTTAAATGCAAGCATGCATATGAATATGCATTCTCATTCAGGTGCTGGATGTCAGTTTGTGAGATGGAGTTCCATGCCTGTTACACTTGGCCTGTCAATACAGGGACAATTAACGATGATTGTGGATGATGCTCAAGCTGTCACCCAATGATGTCTCGTACATGCTTGACTGGAGAAACATCTGATGATCTATCTACAAAAGCGATATGTGAGTGAGCATTATCTGTTGAAAAACACTCCCTTGAAAGCCAGCAGAACACATTGCACCACCAGACTGACGTATAAATTTGCAGTCAGGATGCGTGAGATAACCCCAGAGTACTCCTGCCGAGTTGTAGCTTGACACCACTAATGTCACAAACGGCAGTGGTTTGAAATCAGTGACATGAAAGCTACAAGACTTCTGGCAGGGAGTTGTCCTTCAAGTAACCAATTTATAACTGTTTATTGTATCACAGTGGTGCCAACTACAGTTCGAATTTCTGTTACAGACACAGTACGATGTGCCACAGTCATATGCTGAATAAGATGGTCTTCCCTCGACCATTGTTGCCAACAATCATGCACAGTGGATACATTCCAAGTCTTTCTGCAATATTGCTTAAAGAAAATCCTCCTACCTGTAGCCCTATTATGACCTCATTCAGACTCACTGAGCTGTTCATAATGGCTTCTTCGTTTTATTAAAGGCCTTTTTTATTAACATCAAATCTCAATGATAAATAATGTTCATGAACTTTACACTGTGTATTTTTAATGCAAATCTGATTTGCATGTTCATAGTGGCACTACTAGTATCACACTTGTGCACCTAGCCTAAAATTTGAATAGACATCATCTTTCAGATGTACAGTACAAAGTCCGAGATCTGGACTCGTTGGGACTTTTTGGGCATTCTGGATTTGGGATTTTTCCGGACATTAAAATACCGGTTACATTCTAGTAAGATGGCATGTAGAAATTAAAAATATGAAATCATTATTTATGAAATAATGAAGCATTTATGATCTAAAGAGTGTCAAAATTTACAAAAAAGGCTTAATATTTATTTGTTTACTTTATTAAATATTTCTTTCAATGTAAGTTATTTAAGTTGCTGTGATTTTTGTGCTAATACTTTCTCTTTAATTCTATAAACAGATTTTTGTGCTAATATTTTCCCTTTAATTCTATAAACAGACATAATTTTTTGTTCAGTTATAAAGTTCCATATTGTTCAAAAAGTTCATTGAAGTACTCTTGTCTTGATAATCAGAGTCGAAAATTATGAAAAATTATCTCATGAAAATGTTCGCAAGTCAATTCCATTTTTTGCTCAAGATGAATTTTTCATTTCAATGTAAACAGCACAAATCACGCTAAAATGGCAAAATGTTCTGAAGAAGTTATGGTTAAAAATATCAAACTTTCTATCGGAATTGTCTGTGGTCACCTATTAACACTTACTTTGCCAAAGCCAGAAATATAAATAGCAACCTTCATATAGTTTTATACACATATTTATATTTGTTCTTTTATTAGGTAGACCAACCTTCACAGAAATTATACTGCATAATCAACTGATACACGGTTCCCTCTTTTGTTTCTAGCATTACATGCAATCTACATTCTTTCTTTTTAACAACATATATAACATAAGAACTTAAATTAGCAACTTTCTAAAGCCGTATATTTGACTTTACCCCTGATGTTTCACACATTGATCAATTGAGATAAGTTATAAGGTACGTGTTACTTAGTTGTGATGTAAAAGAAATGGTTCTAAGGTTTATACTGACTGAAGAATATATAGCATCATATCTGGAACAACAACTAGACCGCTTTAGCAAAATTACGTGCAGATATTAAACTTTGTAAAAGGTAAATATATGTCAATGCAGAGAACGTATCAGGAAAATACTGAGGATTGCAAAGCAAGCGTGATATAAATGCACTTATGCTAATCATTCTTTAAATTTAGTTTGTTGTCTTATGACGGTTGCTCATCTCAATAATGAAATTAAAGGCAAAGCTGTCTTAGTACATGGGCTCAATGGGCACTTGCCCATGGTCCTACGAGCATATGGGAAATGAATACGTTGAAATTGCATTTCATTTCTGTTGGTGGTTTTCTCTGGGGCCCATAATGCTGTTACAAGGGTACTTACTGCTTAACATTTTTTGATATTTCATGCCACAGCATCACTTGAAAAGTTTTCCCCTGGAATAGACTGAGTCACGAACACAAAAATGGCAGTACTGTTCTGAAAGCAATTTAAGTGAAAAGCTATTAGACTAGTATTTGGTAAGCAGATGTTTACTGCTTACCAAATAATATTAATGAGCAGTCACAGCAAGCAGTTGTTTACTGCTTACTGGCTAATCACAAAAGACCTTTCACAGCAGCCACTTCTGCGATATCTGAACCTGAATAGTATTTCTTAGAAAGTGATTACATTAAAAATATCCATGGTAGTTATTTCTCTAAAGCGTTCTATTTTCTCCCTTTATGGGAGTGCAAAGCTCCTTAGAATTACAGGTGGTCGTTTTCGGAAAGTTTCAGCATGTAATTCCTCTAAGGTAACTGTAATAAACAATTTTGATTTATTAGCATTCTTAAATTAAATGAAGAGAGTATTTTCAGTCACTGTGTTTAGGGGCCCCACTTAATTTGCCTCTGGATGAAGAGTCAGCAGAAGAGGTTAATTAACAATAATCATAAACTATCTAGCACAATTCAAAGGCAATTAACAATAATTATCAACTGTCCATCACAAGTCGAGGGAACCTTGAAGCCTGTCTAAGTTTGACAGATGGGTTTCACATTTACGAACAGATGGTAATCAAAGATAAAGTAAAAACCTGCATTCAGTAAAAAAGAAAAATTTTGAACCATCCAAGAGATTAGTAATGAAAATTAACTGGGGTTTAAAGCTTGCAAAATATCATTCATGGAAAAAATTTTAATTAGTATGAGACATTTGAAACAAGATAATTACTCTAACAAGCCAGTTGACTTCATTAAGAACGGCATTGAAAAAAAAAAAAAAAAAACTACAATAGCATTGACAGAATGTTATTCATTCAGATAGGAAGCATATAGCCGATTAAATTCGTATCTCATTTTTTGTTCTTGAAAGCCTACTTCAAAAAACAGTATTACTTATGAAATGACAAAACACATAAATTTTACATCTAATTTACCATCTATAAATATTATTTTCTATGCTTTTTCTGACTGATCATCTTTCTGCTTATTTTACCCGAGATCTAGTCCCATAAAGACCAGTTAATTACACATCTACAACAAGTCTCAGTCACTGCAAGTAAAAAGATACTTTTATTTAAATTTTAACATAAGTATTTAATTCATCTGAAATAAGTACACAGATAATCAAAAAGTATATTTTTTTATATTTTACATTTTTAAAGTTTGATAACCAAAATTTAAATACTTACTCCAATATTATCAACCAACATTTTATCCAAACCAATAGGGCCTAAAGAACTTTTTACAATATTGGCTATTGCACAAGCTGCTGTCACTGCCAAAATTAAAATAATGCATTAAATAGAATGAATTAATGTATAAGTATGTATTATTTACAGAAATACACAGGAGTGAGTAAATTTCACTTTTAAGTAACTAAGAATTTTATCCAAAATCAGTTGCAATGATAAATTTATATAATATCTCTGGAAAAAAAAAATTGCAGTAAAATGTATATTAATTAAATATGATATTAATTAAAATATATTAAACTTTTATTAAATCCTAATCTAAATAATAAAATCTGAACAAAAATTAATACCAGTATCACACTGTATAAGTCATAATACATGCATTTTATTGCGGTATTTAAAAGTCTTTAAAGTGTTTTAAAGACCAGTTAAATGGTTAATATAGTACAAAGTCTGAAATCCGGACTCGTTGCGACTTCAGCGATTCCAGATTTTGGATTTTTACTGATAATAGATCATCAATTTAAATCTGATAAGATTGCATGCAAAAATTATACTAATAAAAATATGAAATAAAGAGCACTTATGGGTATTACCCTTCTTCCATCACTACACTATCGTCTTCATCCAGTATTTGTTTGCACTGCCCCCAGCAGTCGTCTTGAGCACAATATGTATTTACAGTCAAAAGTCGTTAATGGACTTCGCTTCCGTTACATTTCATAATCATTATAAATCTTAAATGGTGCAGAATTATCAATAAAAGAAACTGATTATGTAGAACAATATGATCCGGATGCAAACTCGCAGCCCACAAATATTTTTGCGGCCCGGCCAATATATCGGCAAAATAATAATATAATAATAAAATAACATATCGACGAAGAAAAAAATGAAATGTAATTAACGATAAGTTGTTAGATTACTCACAGCGAGCTGACACACACACTACTTAAATTACAAATGCGTGTGAGTAGCTTGCGTTCAGCTACCTTCGGCTTTTGGGGGACACGTACACTCAGAACTTGTACGCATCCCCGATAGCCGAATGTGGCCGAACTCATGGTCTCAGTTTTCCAATCATAGTTTTGTACGATATATTGGTGCATGCACTTTGCTTTATTATTAATTATTACTTAATTCATATTGTTACGGATTTCATAGTTATTTATTTAGTTAGTTTTTTTTATTTAGAATTGTAATTAGATTTGCTTCATGTTGCCTTAGCAACGCAGACGATTTTTGAAAAGACAGCTGCGTTGGAAGGTTAAAAATAGAACAGCGCGTGCATTTAATACCTAATAAATAAATATCTCGTAATTGCTGTTGCCATCCACAAAAATCCAGATATTTATAGATGTTTCCAGTATATTCGAGAAATTAATTATAAAGCTTATAAAAGCCGAGAACAAACAACTCATCTCAGTAGTAGCTGTAGTTCTAGCGAACTGTTTGTTTACTTAATGCTGTGATTGATTTGTAGCGATTTCGCTGTGAGATAGAATTAGTTTCTCTGTTTTGAATTGATTTTTGCTAAACGTTTGACATTTTGTGATATTGTTAGAATATTTTTGAAGAAATATTTCAGCATTTTGATTTATCTCTTGTGGAAAGAATAAATTTTTGTTAACTTTTTAACGTTAACCGTGTTTATTCCAGCCCTTTGTATTCAGTATGTCTATATCAAAACCAAGTGGTAGTAAAATTAAACGAAAAATCGCTGACGAACATAGAATATTCCAAGTAAAATGGGAATTAGAATATTTTTGCTGTGAAATAAAAGATAAAATAATCTGCTTGATATGTAATAATACTATTAATGTACCAAAGTTATATAATATTAAACGTCATTACGAACAACACAAATCGAAATATAACAATTACGAAGGATTAATGAGAGAAGAAAAGTTGAAAGAGCTCAAGTTAGGAGTGAAAAAGCAACAGTCCATGTTTAGTAAAGTATTGCAAGAAAGTGAAGCGGCGGTACATGCAAGCTACGTCTTGTCCGAGTTGATAGCTAAACATTCGAAGCCTTTTACTGACGGTGATTTCATCAAGGAATGCCTAATGAAAGCTGGAGAAATTGTTTGTCCTGGAAATGTGAAGGCTTTTCAATCAATTTCATTGTCTCGAAATACAGTTGCGGAAAGAGTTACTGATTTAGCCGCGAATTTAAGTGATCAGATCAAAGCAAAATCATCTAGTTTCGAAAGTTTCTCCATTGCCTGTGACGAGAGCACGGACATTAGTGGCAAAGCTCAATTAGCAGTGTTTCTTCGTTCTTGTGACAAGAATTTTAACATTTTTGAGGAATTACTGGAACTAATACCGATGCCTGGTACTACCACAAAACAGATGGCACTCCATCAATGACCGGGAAAAACAAAGGCTTCGTAGCATTACTAAGAAAAAAACTTAGTGAAATTCACGGTTCAAACATTCATCATATGCATTGTATTATACATCAAGAAGTTCTATGCACGAAAGTAATAAATATGGAGAATGTTTTGTCATATATAAAAAAAGTTATAAATTTTATAAGATCTCGAGGTTTAAATCAGCGTCAATTCACTGCTTTCTTAAGTGAGTTAGATAGTGAATATTCGGGTTTGTCCTACTATACCGAGGTACGTTGGTTATCTTGCTCCAAGATTCTCAAACAATTCTGGGATTTGAAAGAAGAAATATGTCAGTTTTTAAAAACGAAAAATCAAGACGTAAGTTTGTTTTACGATCCAATATGGATACAAGATTTATCTTTCTTGGTTGATATAACCAAACACTTAACCGATTTAAATTTATCGTTACAAGGAAAAGATCATATCATTACGAACATGTTTGACATAATTAAAGCATTCAAATGTCAACTAGTTCTTTGGGAAAAACAACTTAAAAATGAAGATTTGACGCACTTCCCGACGTGCAGCATGAACAAATCAAGTTTAGATGATACTTGTTCGTATCAAAAATACGCAGAAAAAATTGCAAATTTAACAACTGAATTTGAAACGAGGTTTAATGATTTTAGTTCCCTCGAAGACAATTTTTTTTTTTTGTTTTTCTTCGATTTTCTCAATAAGTATTGACTCAGTACCCAGCCATATGCAAATGGAGGTGATCGAGATTCAATGCAACTCAAATTTGAAAGCAAAATTCATTGAAGTGGGCGTGCCTGAATTTTACAAATATTTACCAGCCAGGTTTGAAAATACTCGAAAATTCGCATATGAAATTATTTCCATGTTTGGTAGCACTTATCGGTGCGAGCAGTTATTTTCAGTCATGAAAGGTAATAAGTCTCCTATTAGAAACCGTATTAATGATGCTCACCTTGGGTCAGCGTTGAAAGTTATCACTGCAAACAAAATTTCTCCCGAAATAGGAAAGATAATAGCAGAGAAGAGATGTCAAGTATCAGGACGTAAACATTAAATTTTTCTTGTTCTTTTCTATATAAATATATATATATGTTTATTATTGTATTATTCGAAATAAATCTACGTTTCTATGAATATTGATTTTTTTTTTTTTTTTTTTTTTTTTTTTTTTTTTTTTTTTTTTTTTTTTTGGCCCGCCTAAAGTTAAACCTTGTTTGTTTGGCCCAAGTGTACCTATGAGTTTGACATCTCTGATCTAAGGGATCAAATCAAAAAAAAAAAAAAAAAAAACTTATGTATTTTTTTTATTAAATTTCTTTCAACGCAAGTTGTTTCGTTTTTTGTGCTAATACTTTCTCTTTAATTCTATAAAAAGACATAATTTCTTGTTCAGTTACAAAGTTCCATTGTTCAAGTCCTATAATTGCTGTGTCGAGAATACCGACTAACTTGTCAATCGAAATTTTTTCGTTTTCAATAACACCTCTGTCGCTGTCTTTAATATCAGGAGCGGTATTTTCTGGATCTAAAACCATACTACAGATTTCGCCGTCCGTTAATTGACTGATGATTGGGGCATCGTCACCGCAATGAAAGAGGAGTCTCAGATAACCGGCACCTGGCGAGGTTCCTGAAATCGCGTTCGCCAACTTGAGCAATAGGTGGCAAATGATGGGATGTTAACTAAGATAGGGAAATGAAAGGGATATTTCCTTTCGATATGGTTAATACTTCGCATTGGGTGTCATGACTTTGCAGATAAATCTTTGTGCTGATGATCACATGACTTTGTCAGTAGACATTTTGAATTCGCTGTATAAATATTTTTAAAATAAATTAATTACACTTATAATCAGAATAAGATTATTTTACTTTTATACAAGAAAATTACAAAATATGCTCCTTTTCCATACTTATGGCTCACATTATCCCATGTGTATTTACAGATAATTAATTTCTAAATAAATTAATTACACTTTTAATTGGAGTAAAATGATTTTATTTTTACAGAACAAAATATGCTCTTTTTCTAACTTATTCCTCATATTTCAGATAATTTCTAATTAGAATGAAATTTTTTAAAATTTTATACTTAATATTTAAATATATGGGAGTCTGGCTTTAACAAACAGTAATTAATTTTTAAATAAATTAGTTGTACTTCTAATACAAATATATATATATATATTTTTAATTTATGGAAGTTATTTGTTTAATCTAACCAAATGCCTTTTTTCTTATTATGTCCATATATAAATAAGATTAGGATTATTTAGAATATCAAAAGCACTCCCGGGCTATTTGCCCGGAGAGGGAAGTCTATTAGCCATGGCTTAACTTCGAGACAAACTACCAGTGTGCAACAGTTTTAGCCTTCAGTCGCTGAAATACACCCTGTATCATAAAAGCAGTTTTTAAACCCCTCATAATTAAATTTATATTCAAATATAATTATTAAAAATGCAATAAAATATTAATCAGACTTTGAAATGGTAATAAGTTAGTATAAAATATTAAACATTATTCTGCTGTTTTTCTACGTCAAGCATATTTCACTGATTTCTTTATAGAGAGGATTTTTGTGGATTAAAAGTTGGGTTATCAGTAAAAAATCTAAACCATTAGCCAAAGCATGAGCATTTCTTTATTTTTCCACAAAAAACAAGTAAAAGTTAATTAAATTTGTATCTTCAAATTGTTAAATA